AAAAAAAAAAAAAAAAAAAGAAGAAGAAGAAGAAGAAGAAGCACCATGAGTGACTGACATAGACGGTGCGTTGCTTCCTTTCTTTTTTTGGGAAGATATTTGGTAGAGAATGGAAAGCTGGGGAAGCAAGCTAGAGAAGGCAACGCCTAAAATAGGCGTCCTGGATGCAGGCTTTTTCTTTTCTTTTCGTTCTTTTTCGCTTTGGATCCAGGCTTAATTAATTGGTCGAAAGCGGCTAGACAACATGGATATTATTTACTGACCAATCATCCATCTGTTTACGCCCGAGGCACCTCTTTTCTTTTTTTTCAGGGGGAGAGGGACAATGCTCTGATCTATATTCGTGGGGAGCAACACGTGCTGGGAACCAGGCCCAGTGTCCCTCACCAAAATACAGAAAACATAAAACATACTCAGGTACTGGGCCACTGCCCGGCTTCGGCTGGGTGTAGCTGGGGGATAATTTCAGAAAACTTCAGAAAAGATCATCAACAACTACGAATGGTACTAGCGTTACGCTTGAGGCACTTATGGTGTTTTTTTTTTTTTTTTTTTTTTTTTTTTGGGTGTGTGTGTGTGTTTACCAGCTGACTTGCCCCGATCACGGTTTAAATTACACAAGATTACTATTATTTTGCTCGTTGGATTTAACAAAGCAGAAGGGAAAGGAATGCTTGCCTACCACCAAACCAGGTATGCCATGAAATAAAGTGTTCTTTTTTGTTGTTTTATTGCCATGCAACAAATGGTTCCTTGATGGCAGTCAACATAGTATTTCAAATGGATCAGTAGGAATTTGGGGAGAGGCCGTAGGTAGATTATTTTACTCTTTTTCGGTTGATGTTCTTCTCTGTTGTGTGGATTTGGGTCCAAAGTTTATCTCTGTGAGGGCGGGGCTCTGAGCTCCGGGTGGAGCAGGACAACCTGGTTGTCCCCTATTTCTGTACTTGTTGTATTGCCTTGGGCACTGGGCCCCTATAATTAAAAGCCGCTTTAGCGAATAATAATAATAATAAACATGCCCGCCAGGTGGTCGAATGATACTCACATGCGGAGATCAACGGTTCAAATCCTGTTCTATACAACGAGGTTATAAGTTATAACCCTTTGATGACCAGAAAAGAAGGGAAACAAAAAGGAGAACCCCACAACCAAATGGCAAAAGAGAGCTGCATCTAGCTCTAATCTCACCAGAATAACCATACTCTCAACACCTGTCCAAAGCTTCGCCAGGTCTAGCTATGGCATGCTTTATGTGCTATGGCGTGCTATGTCATGCTATTCGAGGGCCTGTTACAGCATGCTATAGCTCAGCAACTTCGTCAGAATGGCCACACTTACAACCGCTCCCCAAAATTTTCGCAAGGCCTTGCTCTGACGTACTTCGCCATGCTATGAGTGCGGCCCTCTGTTGTGCTATCTATCTAACATTATGACGTGGTATGCTGTCCTCCCTCCATCGCGTTATGCCATGCTGGTATATGTAGTTCGTACGATGGATGGTTTGTTAGGCCATGCTATACCTTTGTGATGCAGTGGCCATTCCCGCCACGGCTGTTTGTCACCCCCATGACGCAAATGGCGCGCCATAGCGTCTGCTACGTCATGCTATGTCAACGGTCACACAACGCACTCGTTGTCATGCCACGTAGTCGAATATGTCATACTTGCTGTTGCTCAGCCCAATGATCACCTGCTATGGCGTGCTATGCCGTGTTATCCCCTGCCATGGTGTGCTATGGCCTGCTATGCCATCCTATCGGTCCGTGCAATCCTCGTGCTATGCCATCTTATACCATGCCATCCTCTGCTATGTTGTCCTATGCCCTGCTGTGCAGTGCTATATCATGTCATACATAGATACGTATACATATATATACATATATATATATATATCGTCACAAACAGATATATATATATATATATCGTCAAATAGAACTGCCCGGTAAACCGTAGGCAGAGAGGGAGAAGAGGACAACAAACGAGGGGCTGTGACAAACTGTTTCGTCGGGATATGATGAGTCGGTGAATCGACGAAACCGTTTGTCACAGCCCCTCGTTTGTTGTCCTCTTCTCCCTCTCTGCCTACGGTTTACTGGGCAGCTCTGTTTGACGATACATTTATATGCAAAGTCAAACAGAGATGTCCGGTAAACCATAGGCAAAGAACTATGTATCCCCAGCGGCCGCGGTCGCCGCGGCCGAGGGGAGAGGGGGTTGGGGGAGGGGGGTTCGGATTGGGGTTCCGGAACCCCGACCCTACCCCCCGAACAAAAGAAAGTTAAAAAAAATAATTTTCGGGGGGGTCGTTTTTGGTGTGTGAAAAATAAAATAACAATAAATAGAAAAAAAAGTAAATCTTGATTGTTTGATTGTTTTTTGATTGATTGATTGATTGATTCATTGATTCAATGATTGGTTAATTGATTGGATGATTGATTGGTTGGTCGATTGATTGATTGATTGGTTGGTCCATTGATTGATTGATTGATTGATTGGTAGGGGAGGTCGGCACACACACACACACACACACACACACCTGTCTCTTATACACATCTAGATGTGTATAAGAGACAACACTCACACACATGAATTTTGGGCCGAATTTTACACGGTGGGTCAAAACAATGTACTCATCCGCTACTGCAGCGGTGATGATCAATGGGAA